TACATTTCAAAGCTTTCGCATTACTCGCAGCAATTAAGATGCACCAAATAAGTTTTATAGTTGCTGCTCTAACTAGTGTTCTAAAGAACACACACATTTTACATTCTCTTGCCTTTCCATATGGCCAAATATATAAAGAATATCACTTTAATCCAAACAGAAGCTTTTTTGAAAAAAAAACTGTAACGTTAAAGGAATTTGTTTTTTTTTCAAAAGCAGAACAAAAAGATACAGAGCCCTGACAGTCACTTTTACTGAAGCCCATTCCACCACGAAAAATGTACAGTGTACAATGATAATATAGCTTACATCTCACTTTAATGCCTGATCACAGTGCCAAAAAAGTTTAGAGTCCTTGCTAAAACTGACAGTAGAATACTATGGTTGAGCAAGCCACAGAAATATGCACTCTGTAGCCAGAAGTAATTACGCGTGTCTGCTAATCTCATCTGGAGAAGCTCAATCTAACAGGCATTCAGAGATCACATCTATCAAACAGAGCTCCACGCAAGACACAGCAGCTGCAGCTTTTCTTGAAAACACAACTGGAAGACCAAATAGCACTTTGTGTGTTATGATGCAATGTGCACGTATCACCCTTTGGAATAAAAAAAAATTGTCAGTGTTGGAGTACATAACTTATGATAACGAAGACCTGCATTCACTTCCTCTGCTTAAGAGAGCACAAACCTACATCTCCATAAGATTACGCCGCAGCCATGAAGTTCTTAAGTTTCACAAGCTAGGGAACTGAGGTATCCTTCTCAGGTTTATGAATCTGTTATATACGGCTGGACACTTCGGTGGATGTATATACCTCACTGTTCTTAAAAAAAATGATAGAATTAGACAGGATCTTGAGTCTTCACCTGACCTGTGCAATACAGTATCTCACTTCAAAAGGCTATGAGTTAATACTGTTCTGAGTTAGTTTAAATCAATGCAGTATTTCCAGGTAGACAGCATTCAAGACCTATAACCATGGGATACCAACTGAAACTTGGAAGCATGCGTATTGTAGCTTATGTTTCCAAGTCCCATAGGGCTACACCCAAGTAAGCATATGCAAGCTGCAACTTCACACAAGGCAAATCACACTGTGTGTAGTGCAAGCGGCAGCAAAAGGTCTGACTGAAAACGACTGCCATCTACTTCAAAAGCAAAGAGGAAATAAAGCATTTCCAGGAAAAAAACATAGGAAAAAATTATAACAGAGGCAGAACTATATGGGCTTTGCTTTTATCTGATATCCTCACACAGCTAAACTGCTTCCTGCAATTTACCAAAAGAATCCAAGCTTTGAGCTAGAAGGCTTACTTTTTAGTCAGGTGGTTACCGTTTGGGAAATTGTAAACTCTCTCTTCTCTACTACGTATAATGGAGATGTTAAGCAGCCTTCAAACATAAATGTTGCTGCCAGCAGCGTCAGGAAGAAAATTGTCAGTCTTTGTAGTACCACCAAAAAAAAAAAAAAGGTATACCACTATCAATTACACCAAAGCCTCAAACTGTAAGCGTGGAAAAGTAATTTTGGAACATCAAGATGAGAAGGTTGGAAGAATGTTATTGCTCCCTTTTTAATTTTTCATTATGGTCATACACTTCATGTTCTTGTATCTGGGGTTATTTTGCTTGTAACCCAAAAATCATTTGTGCGCATTAGCAACGTGAAAAGATTGACTCTCTCTCAGAAGCTCATATTCGCAAGCGTATTTGGTCCTCATTAATTTAAACCTCCAATCACTTCTAGAAAACCCAAGTTAGCATACCTAGCTTTCTGAGTGACCCAATGCAGTAAAAAGTAATCATTATACGGCAGCTTAAAATACAGACTTACATTTAGCTTGAACAGTGTACACTAGCGTTTGCTTGTAATCTTTTCAAACATGGTTATTTCGCCTACTGCAGTTCATCTGCCTGCAAGAGTAACAAAGTCATACTAACAAAGACTCCAATACAGCATCTGGATTTGCAGATACTGAAGACAGCTAAAGACTTTTTCTGCGAGTATTCTCATATATGTGTTAAGTATGTATATCACTGTTACTATCTTTATTACCTACACGAGCGGAAACAAAAGGCAAAAAAGACTGCTAATTAAAATGAAACTTACACACTCTTCTTATGAAACAGGGGAAAAAAGGAATTTGTTGGGTTTTTTTTCCTACAGTAACTTAATTGTACCATATTCATGCCTAATGTAACGTTACCGGGTTATATTAGGAGCAGATTTGACTCTGCTATTTATTATCAAAAACATCTAAGACTTACTAAATGCATAACTTAGTACATTTCAAGAAAAAAATATTGAAGCATTCTTTTTCCTTCTCTTTCTCCTGATGGAGCGCTCTCCTTTTCTACAGCAATACAGCTTTAAGACTCAAAATCTCACCCTTCAGAAGCAAAATTCTGAACAAATTAGCTCTGCAGTGTTGAGACAGTTAAGTGCTGTAATGCACTGAGCACTACATTACCCATCCATATGCCAGCTGAATAGACTATCACCTCTAGTTTGCTGGAAATCAATTACAAAAAGGTAGCATGGGTCCTTTGCAACGACTTTGTCATGCACTAGTTTTGCTGCACGCTTTACCAACCCGCTCCAAAGCACTACTGTTATTACACAATCCCCTGCCATCCCTTGATTTCATGTTTTAACAATGGTGATGAAGAACGAATATTATCTCGCTATTTTTGTGCGCGTCCTTTATGCATTACAAGGATATAAAGGCATTTCACTGCCTTTTCCTCTGTCACCCTAACTGGGCTGACTTCATTACATGTAAGGTTCAGGTTCTCCCTACCCTCTAATGATGATATAGCACATCTGACACAGAGATTAAACCCCGTGTTTCTCAAGAGACAGAAAACAATAGCTTGAGAGAAGGCAGATTAGATGCTTGCCTTAACTATAAGTATAGAGCAAGCTACACTTCCAAAGGGGCAATCAGTAACACTAGCCAAAAAAATTCATGCTACCCCCAAATATAGGATAGTGAATTCAGAATATCTTCTCTGGGTTTACCACGTTTTTGCTTTGCTAGATTCGTCTCGCTTTCCTCCCCTCCTCACACCTTCCCACCAGAGCACCCACAAAGCAGGTATCTGTAGAACTTCATAGCACTTCCATATATTGTCACACATTTCGAGTGCTTTGTGTCAACTTTCTTTGCAAAAATGAACATCCCATGAGATTGGGATACGGCAATTCTCAAAAGAATATATCATAATGACGGTCACTTTTCTACTTTGTAGCCAGAAGGTGTACTTTATTTCTGTGTTCCTGCTGCAAATTTACTTAAGACGTGTTTCTGAACTATAAAATTTAAAGAAACATGCAAAGAAAAGGTCTTCCTTGCCATAGCTCTCTATGTAGACTTATCATACAGACCTCCTCCTTCTAGGGTACCGTAATCCACAGGCACTGCTCTCACATTTTCCCTCAACTAAATGTTGTTCTAGAACAAAACAATCGAGAGATCAACGACACAGCTAAGAAGAAAAACAGTCAATTTGGCAGCACCTTCGCAGTTATCATTAGCGTAAACGGCCGCTTCCATAACTGCTTTATCGCAGAAGAGGAAAACACTCGGGAAGTTTTTATTAAGAGCACCACATTCACAGAGCCTCCTGACGACACGGGCAGACGCTACCGGCTGAAGGAGCCGCCCGACGCCCGGCCCGGCGCTCTGCGCCCGCCCCGGCAGCG